AAAAATGTTACCCCCTTTTTTTTTTTCTTTCTCCATCTTTCTCTCTTTTTCACTCCCTCTCATCGTTTTTCTTCCTCTTTTCTGCATATTCTTTAAAATATTTCCCAATTTTAATTGTATTAATAAATATACATATATATATATATATATATTATTCAAGATATTTACGATTATTCATTTCAAATACCTATAATTGAATCAGTACCTATACCTTCATCTATACTTATATACTTATATCTATACATAAGCATAAGCAATTATTAATGTAATAGCATGTGAAATTCACTAAAACAATTTGTCCACCTCTTCCATCATTTCTCTTTTTTCATTGCATCTAACTTAAATTTAATTCCTGTTATGCATTTATTTCTATTTTTTTTTTTTATTCACTTTTTATTGATATGTCATTTAAAAGGTCGCAAATGATTTCATGCCGCTAAATTTAATTATTCAATCATTAATTAGGAGTTTTGTCACGTAAGCAATCCATTTTTCAATAATGTTTACCTCATTTTCATTCCAATTATCCATAGCATTATGATGATATAATTTTACATACATTAAATGATTTGAAATTTTTTTTAAGGTAAAAAAAGGGTTTCTTTTTTTTTAAAAATTTGAATTTATCATTTTATAGGAACGATTATCTGTTGCTAAATTGATTCGAAATGCTTTGAAAATGGAGAAAATATTTTACTTTTTTTTTCTCAAGTTAAAATTTTCAAAAATTAAAAAATAGCGGGGAAAAAAACAGATTTCTTAACTTTTAATTTACCATAATCTTTTTTGTCGTTCCATTTTTTTTCTTTGCCTTTTTTTTTTTTTGATGTTGAAATATCAGCAGATTAACAAAACTTGATGGTAATAGTAGTAGTAGTGAATGATAAGGTTTGATTTAAAAAAATTTACCAATTAGAGTGTTACACGAAATATGTTCTATTTCTCAATTTTTATTATTTATAATATCGATGTTTGTTGAAGTTCAAATTTCCTCGTTAAGTACTGTTAAAAATAAGCAAATTAATAGGATGAAATAGGGAAATTTTCAGGTGGAAAATTCAAAACAATTACCGTAAGAATGATGATGTCTTTCTTTTCTTTTCATTTTAATAACTAGTATTATTTTGAAATTGAAAATTTCACTTCCTCCTTTTTTTTTCTCTATCGTAATCACATACTAATAACTTCATCACTTTCTAACTGAATAATTTTTAGCAAAAAAAGAAAGGATTAAATTGCATGTTTGGAAATTAAAAAAAAAAAAAAGAGAAATTTAGTTGGAAAAAAGCAATGATCATTTCATTAATCATCAATGAGTTATTAACAACAAATACCTTTCAAAGAAATATTTTTTTTAACAATTAATAAATTAATCATATTAATGATTAATTAAATACAGAAAAAAAAAATTACTATAAACCAAATGTTATTCATTGCAATGCTATATGTATATATACATATGTGCATAAATGCATTTCATCATGATAATCTCTATTAAAAATTAAATTAAAATTAATTGATATAAATTAATTTGATGAGATTTCCTTTATAATGTACAGTAACATTATCTCAAATTATGATTACATAAGATTTGATCGTAATATATGCATTTAAATATTAGTTCAATCAATTCTTATTATACCTTTTTTCATTTTAAATTTTTCCTTTTTTTGACGTATGTTAACGTGTACATTATTTATACAAGCATAAACGTTTAGTACATTTGTCATTTTTGACGTATTTTGACGCACCACTGTTTACAAAATACAAATATTCAATTCGTATTTTTATCATTGACGATGATAATATATCTAACTTCTTCCTTTTTTTTTTTCAGGATACGATAATTGAGGGAAACAATTGCATAGCTAATTTTGAAAGTGATAAATAATTTGGATTTGTTCGTAGCAAATTTCCTATTATCTTTAGGATTTTTCTTTTTCTTTTTTTTTTTGTATCCTTCAATTTTGTCATTTGCATATTTGATATTTGAGAAATTTGATTCTAATAACTTGTGTCAGTTGAAATGAAATAATCCGTTCCGAAATTTCATTGAATTAATTCAAAATCAAAGAGAAGAAAAGAAATTTCACCACGCAATTATAATCAAATCCTTTTCGTTTTGTATCCTTTCAACAATTCGTCTTTTCCTATTTTAAACAAGTTTTTATCAATCATTTTCTTGCTGTCACCCCAAACAATCAATTGAATACACAAATATGATCAAGGAACATCAGATATCACAGGTATTTGTATTGATGTGAGAAAATTTAATACAAAAAAATTACTAAAAAAGAAAAAGACGAAAACAAGAAATTATACTATTACCATTAAAAAAAATTTCTGCACTATCGAGGGATTTTCTTTTTTGATTTATGAATTTTGCAGAATTTATAAACCAATTCAAAAATGGTAAAATCCAACATAAGAAATATGTCAATTGAAAGTAAGCCTTTAGTAGCATATTTGGCATATATTATTCGTTTTCTACATGACATTAAATTTTTTACCTTTATTACATTTCAAATTTTTCTTTTTC